CATCGCTCGGACGTTCATTCCGTGTGCATGTCTCGGCTTCGTGCGCTTCTTTTTCGCACGATGATCCAAGATGCTCCTCGATGGTCCCCGCCGAGAAAAAGTGCACACGTCCGAGGGATGCCGAGACGCTTTCTGTTATCGCGAGCTGCGTCCAGAATGGCTGAAAGTGGGGAAATATCTGCGTCCAGAATTGTTCAAGGCATCGGGGACCTGGGACATCCCTTCCTCCTCCTCCTCCTCTTCCTCCTCCTTCGCATCATCATGATCATCATCAGCAGCATCATTAGCATCATCATCATCATCATCATCATCATCATCATCATCATCAGCATCAGCATCAGCATCACCATCATCATCATCATCATCATCATCATCACCATCATCATCATCATCATCATCATCATCATCATCATCATCATCATCATCATCAGCATCATCATCAGCAGCAGCAGCATCATCATCATCATCATAATCATCATCATCATCATCAGCATCATCATCAGCATCATCAGCATCATCATCATCATCATCACAATCATCAGCATCACCATCATCATAGTCAGCATCGTCACCAGCATCACCATCATCATCAGCATCAGCATCATCATTATCATCAGCATCATCATCATCATCATCAGCATCATCCTCATCATCCTCATCATCCTCCTCATCCTCATCCTCGTCCTCCTCATCTTCCTCCCCCTGCTCCTCATCCTCCTCCTCCTGCCCTCCTCCTTGTGCTCCTCCTCCTCCTCCCTCCTCTCCTCCTCCGCCTGCTCCTCCTCCGCCTGCTCCTCCTCCTCCTCCGCCTCCTCATGGACTCCTGGGTCCGGAAGTTCCCCACTTTGGACCCCTCCATCTTCATAGATGACTTCATGTTGGGCAGCAGCAACACTAGTATTAGGCTCCTGGTGTCGGACTTGGCGCAGGCCGCCGACAGCATGCCAGATTTAATCGAGGAGGACCTCGATTGCTCGGTCGCGCTGCACAAGGCGGCGGTGTTGGGCTCGTCAGCATAGGTGCAGCAGCGACTGGCGAAGGCCCTAGGCAAGTACAATGGACCCGAAGGCGTCCACCAAGCACAGTCTGCGCCAAACCTCGGAGTACATTCCACCTTGGGGAACAAGCTCAAGAGAAAGTCACGTAAGACCCTCATCAAGCGGTCGGTAAAAATGAAGCGTCGTCTCCACCGTTTGGCGCAGATTAGGAGAGCAGGTGCAAATATGCGTAAGATTTATCAGACAGGGTTGAAAGCGGCCGCCTACTACGGAGCAGAGGTGGTCGGTCTCACTAACCCCGAGGTGCACGAGGCCCAATCCCTGTACCTCAAGATCGTAGGACCCAGATGTGCTACCATATCCAGGTCTTTGGCGTTGTCGATCCTGGGGGATCCGAGCTGGAGTGCCGCTCTGGGGCCGGCCTGCTATTGGGCCAATTTGATCTGGAGAGTCGCTCATCTACCTGGGACTGTTACCTTCACGCTTCCTGAACTTCGCACTCAGGCCCTGGAAGTCCTCAACAACCCCACGACGAAGTGGTTCCAGATTAGAGGGCCTCTCGGGGCCATGGTCCTCAGCTTGGGACGTCTAGGATGGACTATGCCCGACCCGTTCGTGTTCCAGGATGCCAACGGGCAGCACTACCCACTCATCAAGACCTCCCCAGCCTTAATCAAGAAGCTTTTTCAATCCCGGTGGCAGCAGCAGCTCGATTTGAAGGCCAGCGTGAAGCTTGGTCTCGACGAGCCGCTGGACCCGTCGCTCATGCAGCACGCGCTGCAAGATGACAGTATCCAGGGGCACAAGCGCAAGACTTTGTTGTCCTATGGATGCCAGTGTATTTGGACAAAAGGTAAGATAGCCGAGGCAGGCTACGAAGGAGAAGTCAGTTGTGAGTTGTGCCAAGGCCCCGGGGACTCCCTCTCCAGGCTCTTCGGGTGCCCGCAGACCCGCAACTTGAGAGAGGAGATGCTGAAGGAGGGGGACGTGGATGAGCTCAGGGATCAGAGGAGAGGTTTCCCGTACGTCTGGGGATTCCAGCTTCGACCTGAACCTATCGCTCTGAGGCCCCCTGGATTAGGACTTGACCAAGCTGTGTATTGGTCTCGTGACGGGCAGCCCAAGGATGTTGCCATGGAAGGTGAAGTTCTCCACGACGGCAGTGTTTTGAAACCTGGACCCGCGGTTTACGATGCCCCTGCCTGGTCCGTGGCTAAAATCGACGAGGAAGGCGACCTAGTTGCCTGCCTCTCGGGGCCCGTGGGGGCCAGTCTTCCCCCCCACACGTCGCCCGCTGCCGAACATTTAGGAATTCTGGCTGCTGTCTCCTGCCCAAAAGTCACTAAAGCGTGGGCTGACTTTAAAGGCATCCTCTCGGTTCACCAGAGCCCCGAGGTTACTAGGAAAGAAATGTATGCAGGAGTTTCTGTCTTGGCCAGGGCCCAGGACAGTTATAGTTCCCTCGTGATTGCTAAAGTGAAGGCCCACCAGGATCTCTCGACCCTGGAGGCTGGCTCGAAAGAATGGTTTGTTGCCAAAGGAAATGATTGGGCGGATCGGGTAGCCAAACTAGCTGCTGCCCAGATCCCCGCCCCGTCTCAGATGGAGGTAGAATATAATAAAGAAACCCGCAGCAGAGTTCAGAGATTTGTGAAGTATGCAGCGGAGGCGCTTTCCTTGTGGCAGCCCCTCGCCCCAAAGACGGGCAAGAAGGCCTACGAGAAGCCCCCCAAGCGCCTCACCCCCCCTGTTGGAGCCGCGGGTGTGGTCAAGGACTGGACCCCACCCCCTCAGCCCCCTGAGGGTCACCCTCGGCGAGCCCGCGCGGGCCGCCGTAACCCTCAGAGTTTGGTTCGCCACCAGTGGGGGTGGATCTACAACCACTGGCTGTGGCTAGCGTGTCACACTCGTGCCCGCACCGACAGCACCCGCCAGGCCCGTTCGTGCGAAGCTTGCCCTGGCAATTCTGTAGTGCTGTCCCAGCTAATTAGAGAACCCAGGAAGCACCGACTTATGGTTAGCGATTACCTTGATGTCGGGTCCTTTCTCATTATTTGCAAGAGGTGCGGCCGACACTCGGAGAGCAACCTCGAGGGACTCAAAGGTGAATGCGGTGAGCGCTTCATAAGTTCGGTGCGTGGTCTCTGGTTTCAGGCGGCCGTCATCCTAAGGACAGCATGAAGGCCCGCCCCCGACTTTCCCTGCCATTCCCTGCAGCCCAGCTCCTCAATGAAGGGACGGCTACGCAGGGTCGAAAGAGTGCGTAAGGGGAGAGCGGATGTAACCCTAAGGTTTCGGTTAGGATCGGGTCGGCCTAACCCTAGCCTTCCCCATTCGCATGCGATGGTCCTCCTCCACCTCCTCCTCCTTCTCCCCCTCATTCTCCTACTCCTACGACGAAGACGACGAAGACGACGACGACGGTGAGGACTGACGACGCTCGGCGACGACTGACGAATGACGGCGATCGACGGCGATCGACGACGACGGTGGACGACTCACGACGATCGACGACGACCGACGACGACGACGATGACGATCGACGACCTCGAACCTCGAACTCCAATCGAAGACGAGGACGACGATCCACGAGGGCTATCCACATCCTGGAACCTCGATCCTGCAACCTCGATCGACGATCGACGGCGGCGATCGTCGACGACCGCGGTCCCGTCGCCACCCTCTGGGCCACTGGCCGCCCCTTGCACGCGCCTCCTCGAAGGTCATCTCGTCCGGGCTCGCGCGCCCGGTCGGGATCAGGTGCCGCGGCCCGAGCGCGTTGAGCTGGGCGACCTGTGCGGGGGGTGTGAGACATGCAGCTCTGGCTGCAGGGATCCTCAGACAGTCGGGGCGATGAGTGAGCTCGCTGATTCTTCTCATCTGCATCACGAGGCTCGCGCCTGACACGTCCCCAAACATTTTTTGGGGGGTCTGCGGGGCGAGAGCGAACCTCTTCCGGTTAAAAGCTAGGCGGGCTACGCACGGCTCTAATTGGGGAGACAAAGCGCAGGCGGGCGGGGCCTCAGGCGGCCGGAGGGCGTGCCCGGGTGCAGGCGGTGCCGAGGAGCTTGCACAGGAAAAGGACAGGGAGACGTCCCCAGACATGGGATGCGGAAAGAAGGAGGGGGGCGGTCGACGGGGCCCCCCGAGTCAGTCCCGTCTGGACCTCCCAGGGCCCAGCCTGCCCCATCCATCCTGTGCGAGCTGAGCCGTCGTGTTGACCAAGCAGTGCCGCGCCCCACCTCCCCTCCGCCCCCCTCCCTCCCTCCTCTGCCCTCCTCGGCGGCGGCCAGGAGGGGGCGTCCAAGAGGGGGGGGCGCAAATCATGGCAGGCAGCACGTGCGCGGCCCAGGGGTGGGCCAGGGACGTGTTGGAACAAGAAGAGGCGCCATGAAATCTGGGGAGAGATCATGGCCCCCGCCATGACATCCACCACCCTCTAGTCATCACCCCTCTCTTGGCCGCTCCATCTCTACACACCCGGGAAAAGTTCCGGGATATCGAAAACGCGGCGACGAACCTGCAGGACACCTTCCTCCAGAACTCTAGTTCGTCCTTCGTCGCTGGAGGCCCAGAGCCAGACCCAGACCTGTCCAGTGGTGCGTTTCGACCAGAACTCGGAGGCGGACCTAGCCGTGGCAAGGAAAGGCCTTCTGGTGGCGCCCAAAAGCATAAAGGAAATACACAACCTCAAGACTCGATCCTGGGAACCCCCGTTCAGGACCCCTGGGACCCTTTCTTCACTGCGAGAAGAAAAGCAGACGGCCAGGGGGACTGTCGGGGATTTCCAAGAAGATGGCCCAGGTGGCCCAGGCATTCTCCCCCTCCTCACACGCATCCAACTCCTGGTCCTCTTCCCCCTCTCCGCCTCCCCTCACATCCTTCTCCTACTCCCAGTCCTCCTCGTGACCCTCTCATCCTTTCGTTGTTCCACTTCTCCCGATCCTCCGCCTCCTCCTGCTCCTCCTCCTCCTCCTCAGCCTCTCCTCACTTCTCATCCTGCTCTCCTTGATGACCATGCCCCTAATACCGCTCAACATTCTTATCCTCAACCTCTTCTTGAGAGTCCCAAGACGGTGCGGTGACAGACCGTGCGGTGACTTCGAAATCCCCCAAGACCTCACCGCACGGTCCGTCAGCGCACGGTTTTGGGACCCTGGAGGCTCCAGTCGCCCGAGACATCCTCGGAGGACGACCCGAGTCCCAAAACCGTGCGGTGACCCCGAATCCCCACCGACTCACCACACGGTCTGGTCACCGCACCGTTTGGGGGCCCCCGATCTTCGTCCAATTGCAAAAGGCTACCCGGGCTAAGGTGACACGCTGCTCGACGCCCTAATCAAATTGTAACTCGTACTTCGCTATGGCTGCGTCCAGCTTCGATTCATCAAAGTCCTTCTTCTTTCGGAAGAGAGCGAGGGTGTTGTCCTCTTCATTCAGATTGTCCTCGACAACGCCCTTGCGCGATTCATCGTGCCACTTTTGCGGTATGTTTTCAGGCCGGATCACGAAACGGTTGGCGAAGAACGAAATCGTCTGACTGGACTCCTCCATCTCCTCCGTTGTTCTGTAAGCGCGGGACTTGTAGTCGTGAACGGCGAAGACGGTCTGGTCGACGCGGTCCGAGGGGGTTGCCTTAAGTGCCTTCAGAAGGCACGCGACTCGGAACCGCCCGTCCACGAACACCATGTCAAACCAGAACGGCGGATCGAACTCGGCCATGCTGTTGTTGTACGACGAGTACGCGGGCCACTGCTTCACATGGGACCGGTCCTTCGGGAAGCCCCAACCCCTGACCGGACCGACGTCCGCGTGCCGCAGGACCAGGCGCCCGCTTGCCGCCTCACGCCTCAGGTCGCTTCGCCCAAGCAGGTAGTGCACAAACTTGTTGTCCGACTCCGAAACGACGATCTTCTGGATGTTCTTGAACCTCGTGGCGGCCTGCACTGTCGAGCCACCAGAGCCGAATTCACGGTAATTCGTCGCATTGGCCAAGAACATGTACAGGCGCGCTCTGTCCAGTACCCCCATGTGTGGGTACATCGGGTGTTCTACCATCTTTACCTCCTCCTGAGCCGCCAGCAGGGTCACACCAGCACAATGCGCAACGATCGTGGACGAGACGAGCAAGAACATGGGGACCATGGTTCAAAAGTGAGCGCGGTAAATGTTCAATAAACACCAGACATGAGGTCCACTCTCGAGGGGGAACTGAACCGAAGCGGCTGCGAGGGAGGATGGTGAATAGGATGGCAAAAGCGGCAAAGACAAGGACGACGATGATGATGATGAGGAGGCGGATGGTGATGATGATTATGAGGATGAGGATGAGGATGAGGATGATGATGATGCTGATGATGATGATGATGATGATGATGATGATGATGATGATGATGATAAAGATGATGATTGATCATGAAGATAAGGAAGGACATATGAAGCAGTTCACGGATGGACAACCTTAGGGGCTCCAGACCCTCCGCTGCTCGTGCCGTGAGCACTGCAGAATGGCCAGGATGATACGGTGCGGGCCGCATCTGCGAGCGAGCATGAGCACTTCCAGGTGCGCCCAGGTCTGCGATGCTCAAACAGGTAAGATGAGAGTTTGCGTGTGCGTGCTTACGTGCGTGCGGGGAGGCGGGGGGGGGGAGGGGCATTTGCCCGGAGGGGAGCGTGCGTTCCTCGGCACGGTCTGTCCCTCCGGGAGGCAAGCCAAGAGATCCCCAGCTGGGGGAATGGAGACGCCCTCGCCTCCTAGCCCCCCACCTGCCCACCTCCTCCCTCCCATCTTTCCCCTTATCTGTTTTTCTCCTCCTCCTCCTCCTCCTCCTCCTCCTCCTCCTCCTCCTCCTCATCCCTCTACCAAGCTTGCCATCGCTCGGACGTCTATTCCCCGTGCATTGGTCGGCTTCGTGGGCAGATGTTTCGCAAGATGATGCAGGAAGCTCCTCGATGGTCCTCGCCGAGAAAGACGAACACTCCCGAAGCAAGAGGGCGCTGCGAATGTGGGCGAGGTCATGCCCCTTCCCCTGTCCAGGCGTCCATCTCGCCCAGTCGCGAAAACGACACATTGTGTAGCTGGAGCCCAATATCCCGAGGCAACGTTTCCAGAGCTGGGGTGTCTCCGAAATACTGCTCGGGCATCCTCTAAGTCATCGCCGTGCTCCTGCCGTTGTTCGGCACCTTCGTCGTCTATGTCTCCGTCATCCTCTGGCTCGTGCTCCCTCTTGCTCCCTCTTGCCGTCTCCCTCCCATCCCACTGGATCTCCTTCTCCACACCTTTTGAATGACTCCTCCCTGTGGCACCCCGAGGTCCATCGGAAAGGCGTCAGGAGCGTTTCGCCCGAGACTTCCGTACCATTCACGAACCTGAAACTTCACAACTAGCAACAGCTTCACAAACGGAGGGCGGGTGGTGTTCAAAATGTAGCTCTCGCCAGGGCGACGCACACATTCGTCTTCAAACATTTGCTACAGTTTCGCGGCTTGAGGGCGGGTCGTTCCCAAACAGCGGTTCTCGCCTCAGCGCCGCGCACACTTGTTTGGAACAGTGCAAAAACTTCACTGATTGACGACGGCTCCTTTCCAAAATGTGGCTCCCACCTTGGCGCCGCGCACGTTCGCATTACACAGTTGCAATTGCTTCACGGATTGGGGGCGGGTCGTTTTCACACTGTGGCTCTCGCCTTGGCGCCGCGGACATTCGTTATAACAGCTTGCAAGAATGTCATGGATTGATGGCGGCTCCTTTACGAAATGCGGCTCTTGCCGTAGCGCCGCGTGCACTCGTTCTAACAAATCGCAGGGGTTCCAATGGTCTTGATTGACGTACCAGAACTGGTGCTTTGGAGCAGTTCTGGATTGTCAAGGCACAACATGTACGTTGATTCGGAGTTTTGAAGTCCCAGGAGCGGCGTTCTGGCACGATTCAGGATCTTCAAGACGCTTCAGTCAGGTTGATTCGTGACGTTGAAGTCCTCAGAACGGTGTTTTGGTGCGCTTCAGGATGTTCACACGGTTGTCCTCCAATGGGGCACTTTCCTCAGTGAGTAGGAATCCTTGAAGGGGCCTATGAAGAGGGAGCGTGGAGGGAGGGTGCATTCCAACATCGTCGATGAGTCTTGGATTTGCATTGGTCTTCCTCCCCTTCTCCCACTCATCCTGCTGTTCGCATTACTCGTCCTCCTCTTCCTCTTCGCCCCAATCCTCCTGGCACAATTATTGGTATTATTCCTCCTCCACCCCCTCCTAAAACTCGAGTGTCCACCCTTCCTTGGACCATATTTGGCCATCTCGGGGTGAGCTTGACTGCCGCGTGGTCTCTTTTGGAGGCTGAATGCCGACAAGGCGAGCGTGCCCAATCCTACAAAACCTATCACAAATCAGTGGTTGTTGCCTCGTGCGAGCCTTCGAAAACCTGATTCGAAAACCCTTCCGGCCCTGGTTGACCCGTCTTGGCTGTAGTCGCGGTCTCTTCGGGGCCTTTTGGGGCCTTCTTGGGCTGTTGTGGAACGTCTTCCCCAGGGGCGTTCCGAGCCCAACCCTCCCGAAAACCGCACGACTTGTACCGCATCAGCGCTTCCCAAGACAATGTATGCACATAGGGTTCCTCATTGCGTCACGTCAAACAACTGCACGGGTCGGCCGAGGATGTTCCACGTTGCCGCCCTGTGCCGCCTCTCGGGCCGGGCGAAAGGGGGGGTAGCAAAGGAAGGGGTTGAGAATCAGCTCGCGTAGCTGATTTTTCCAGGCGCCTCCCGGCGCCGGGAGGCGCCCATGCATCGAGGAATGGGCCCGGCGGCGGGGCCGAAACCAGCTGCATGCAACAGATTTCGTAACCCCCCTTTCCCTATCCCCCCCTTTGTTTCGGCCCGTACCTCGAGGGCACACGTGGGTGCCCCGCGCACTGGGTGGGTCGGACGAGGTTGCTCCACATTGCCGCCCCTGTGCCGCCTCGTGGCCGCCTCGTCGGCACACGTGGGCGCCCTTCACGCTGGGCGGGTCGGCCGGAGTCGCGCCGCGTTGCTGCCTCGTGGGCGCCTCGTGGGCGCCCCCTGCGCTGGGTGGGTCGGCCCAGGCTGCCCCACGCTGCCGCCCATGCCACCTCGCAGGCGTTCGTGGGCGCCCTGTGGGTAAGCCTCTGGAACCAAAGAAATTCCGAAACCTTAGGAGTGAAACATGTGTGCACACAAGACGAGGAAGGCGCCGCCCGCCTTCCGCACCGTTCGGAGGCGGGCGAGCCACATCTCGCCCGCCGACGCGGTGCATCTGGCACTTCGCTGAGAGCTTCGACCCTAAGTCGCTCGCTGCCTGATGATTGCGGCGGGGAGGGGACAGGAGTGGATGGGGCAAGGTAGGAGGGAGAGGGGATAGGAGTGCATGGGGAGGACGGGCGAAGAGGAGGGAGAGGGGGGAGAGGGGGGGGAAAGAGGAGAAATGTGGGCAGCGGAAGGGAGACGGAGATGGGGAGAAGGCAGGAGGGGACGGACGGCAGGGCGGAGGGAACGGGCGGAGGGGTGAGTGGCGCTAGGTTGCTGCGGCTAGCTCTCACTGTGCGGGCGGAGCCGCGACCGCCAAGCACGAGGAGGGAAGCGGTGGGAGGTGAGGGGGAGCAGGGCGAGGGAGGGCGGCCGGGAGAGGAGGGGAGTCGGGGGAAGAGATGGGATCAGGAAGGATGCGCAGGATGAGCAAGACCATGGTGATTAGATGTATTACGACGGCGACGGGGACAAGGACGGGGCAGGGGACGGGGAAGGAGGAGGGAGAAGGGAGAAGATAGGGGGGAGGAGGAGCAGGATGAGGAGAAAAAGAGGGAGAAGAGCGGGAGGTGAGGAGAGAGGGGCGCGAGGGGAAGGGGGAAGACCACGCCGCGCATCGCCACGTTGTCGTCCGACATCTTCGCGTAGGTGGTGTGGGTCTCCTGGCCCCTCGCGGTGCTCAGGTCGCACTCGCCTGGGCAGTTCGCGTCGAAGAGGAGGAGGGAGGAGGGAGGAGGAGGAGGAGGAGGGGGGATGAGGAACACGAGGAGGAGGAGGAGAGGGAGGAGAGGGAGGAGGAGAAGAGGAACACGAGGAGGAGGAGGAGGAGGAGGAGGAGGAGGAGGAGGAAAACGGTGCTCGCCTGGGGGAGGAGGGCGGTGGCTGGCGAAGCAGACCATGGCGTGTGCTGGGTAACCGAAGGTACTATTCAGCAACGCGTATGACATGCAGCAAGCGGGTCATCAGGAATCATTGTCCGCGCTTCCCCCTGTGCTTCCACAAAGGCCTCAATCGGGGAGCATGTGCAAGGTGCGCCGTGCTTGTCCAACTGCAGGGGGCAAGCATTGGCGCAGTCCATTCGCAACCGGAGCGCCCCCAGGAATGGGGTGACCGACGCACTCGCCCGGGGAGGGAAAGCTCGCCCGGGGAGGGAGAGGCGTGAGGAAGAGGAGCGCGGGCTTCTGGGAGGAAGGCGCTGGTCACTGTCTGAGGAAGACAAGCCCCGAGCAGAGCAACACGCACCACGGCATCGACGACAGCGCCGACGCCGACGGAGGCGAATCGTGTCTACGATCCGCCCCGACGCACGGGGAGTTGAGAGAGGCCGCGCCGAAGCAGTTTTGGATGAGGCAGTCGTGTGGCTGCGGCGGGGCGAGGACAAAGGAGAGGTCGGGACTGACGCTGAAAGTGGGCTGGGGACACACGTGTCGAAGACAACGGATAAGGAGGGCTCGGAAGAGGGAGGGGTGATCATGGCGAAGGGGACAGTGAGAGAACATGTCAGCAGGGGGAGACGAGACAACAATACACACAGGGACTCAGGGAGAGAGGGAGAAAGGGAGGCATGACGACGACGGTGCGCACCGCAAGAGCTGGTGTCCATACCAGAGGCGAACTGCAACAAGGAATATGGTACAACACAAATTTCCCAATCGTGCTCTGCACCCCCTCGCCAAATGGACCCGTGTGGCAAGCTACCGCTCCATCTCCCTCTCTCTCTCTCTCTTTCTCGAGGCTCGAGGCCCCCTCCCCCTCTCTCTCTCTCTCTTTATCCATCTTTCTTCTTTCTGGCAGCGGGTGTCGGCCCCCTGTTAGGCCTCCCAAGGAGTAACAACAGTGTTCGCGAAAATGCATGGATCAATTGTGGGGGGGTCGGTTGATCGGGAATGCACTCGCTTCGGTTCCTGCAAGGGCCTCGGCAGACGCGACGCTGCAGCTTTCGATAAAGAGGTGGACGCGTTGAATCATT